TTGTGGATTAGAAGCAGCACTAACTTTAAATATGACTTCTATACTTATAATGCTTCAAGTTCACTTATTAGCAATATCGGATCAGAAATTCACCTTGCAAGCGATGAAGAAAGATGTCGGTAACGGCTCGACATCCTTGCATACAAACATCACTGAGCGGTACACGACTGCACCTCTCCAAACAGGTGGATTTTGGTGATTCCAAATCTTGACATCCATTATGACACTGCAATGTTCCCGAATGACAACAAGTCTGATGCTTTCTTTTGATTACAATGCGTTTATTTATTATTGAAAGTTGATTACGTTATGTCAAGGCTATTAAATTACAATAGTCCATATTTCTTACACTGTTATCAATTACAGTCAGCAGTGTGTACAGTGTATAATAGATTTTTCAAGCAAAAGACAACTGTATTGATTAGTAACGCACTGTAGACGAAATTACAGTTATTATTACACAACTAGCTTTGTTGGTATTGGAAATACTCACGGCGCTAATTCGCTGAGTTAGGTCTGTAGAAAGCAAAGAAGGCTCCCAATCAACAGCCCCACGAGCGAGTGCTACTACCTGCAAATTCAAACGTTCTTGTATATAACGCATTCTGATTCTTCACTTAAACCAAAATTCTTCGTAATCTCTGAGAAGAGTTAAAAATAAATGACAATTGATATTTATACCAAATTCCGATCAAGACATTCATTTTGACATGCTTCCCATGAGTCGGAGAATATAGTAGCTTTTGCAGTACCAATCAGAAGTATCAAATAATATGATAAAATTTGCATAGGAAAGTTTTGACAATCACGAAAATACATGAGTTTGATGAGAAGTGACCTCGACGAGTAATACTCATTACGTTAATTACCAAAGTTTTTGTACTTGATAAATATTCTCATTTCAAATGATCAAGTCAGAGATATAAACAAAGCATTCAGTATGAAGTATCCATTCTAAAAAATGTTTTGATTTGCCGATTCGAAGAGTAAAAATCGGAAATATGTGCACTGGATAAATTCATTGTAACAGACTAAATTGATATCAAATCTAAATGAATACACGCTGCGCATGTTTTTCTGTCACTGCAGAAACAAGCATACTTTTAACAGTTCGTATGATAAGGCAGAAATGAATCAGTAGGTAAGTTCGAGTTATCACCACAAGACTAATCCAATACACTATCTTCTACATATGAGAAACAAAGATGGACAGGAATTACCTTACCCATAACTAAAAGTTGGGTAATTTTGGAAATTTCTATCGTTTATTTGCATTAAAAAAAAATGCACTACACTTTGTTCTCACTTTTTGTTACTGTAAAAATATTTGTAGACTTTTTATTCATTTTAGTCTGATTTAATTTTACGTCTTTTTGCTATGTACTGTAATCATCGATGAACAGTCTGAGTGCTTCTAATGCTAAGTGAAGCTTTATTTCTTAAGAGTGATTAATTTAGGAATTTCTAAATTCGTTAAATGTTTCAAGGACCAAAAGTCAAACTGAATGCAATTAATGAGTTCACGGGAAGAGTGAGTTTGATAATTTATAATTACTTCTTGCATTTGGAAGTTAATAACCTAAGCTCATTTCAGGGTTTTTTTTTTCAGAAAATTATTACTGCCAGTTTTAATCACTCAATAAGACTTTATGCGCAATAAATGCAAACCTTTGCAATGAATTCAAACGCTTCCAAAAGACATTTTTTACAGTAATCATAGCAAATCA